GTAACCCCCTAGTACAGTTTGTGCTGACCTGATTACTTACAGATGTCAAGACATCCATGGGAGCATGGTCGACTTAGCAGGGGTTACACCCTTACACCTGGCTCTCCCTCCCCCACAAGTTGCTGGATGAAAGCTAATGAGCACCTTCTTTCTATGCTGGGATGCTGCCTGGCTCCATCTAGTGCAGGCAAGCACAGCGCTGAGTTCCTGAGAGTGGTGCTCCTGTGCAGGCGAGGTGGTTTCACAGTGGCCTTCTCTAATCCCTAGTTCTTTCAATCTTTCTGCCTTCTCTTCCAAGATGATCCCTGAGACTTGGGGGAAGAAAGTTGTTATATGGATGTTCCATTTATGGCTAAGTACTCCACAGACACTTACTCTCTGTACTGATCAGTTATAAGTTTCTGCATTTACTAATGTCCACTGTACAAAAAAACTTCTCCAAACCAGGCGGAGGTGGCGCCCGCCTTTAATCCCAGCACTCGGGAGGCAGAGACAGGAGGATCTCTGTGAATTCAAGGCCAGTGTGGTCTACAAGAGCTAGTTCTACAGGACTGGCTACAAAGCAACAGAAAAAACAAACAAACAAACAAAAAAAACTCCGATGAAGACAGAGCTGAGCTGCACTGATTTATGGAAGAGCAAATTTAAGAGGGCATTTTTATACTATGACCCTTTAGCCCAGTAGCAGAAATGTATCCACTTCTGGGGGCTATGAACTTCCTAGCCACTAGTGCTTGGTCAGATCTACAGAACCAGGTATGTTTCCTCCTATGGGTCGTTTCCCCTCACCTGCAGTAAATTTCTCCCTCCCCATTACACTATAAAGCAGGTTTGGGAACCTCAACTAATTAACAGGAGTCTCTGTACGCAAGCCCTGACAATGAGAACCCTATTGCAGCTGTTTCCATGCTCCTATACAAAAATGGAGAGCCCTGTCCCATGCCAGAAAGGGCGCATGAACACCATATGGACAATAGAGGAGAGGAAAGAGGTCACCAGGAGTGGGTTCTTGAAACCAAATAAAAACCTAGTCCTTCTTGTCAGTGATTTTCTAGCTCTAGGACCCTTCTCAACCTCAAAAGTCTATAATGCTTGCCAATAACTTTGCTCTTCATTCAGACTTTTTCTGTGCCTCCTCACTCTTTAACAGTCAGAAGAAAATAACCTGAACCCCAGCCTGCAACAAATTCTAAGGAGCCTGTGAGTAAAAGGTAGGGATAGGCAGGGTCAGGTCACTATTAATCCAAGACTAAGAGTGTAAGAGCAATTCTAGAGAATATGAACTGAGGAACTTACAGAAAGCAGGAGGGGTGGGATAAAGACTTCTATGTGGTAAGATATTCATCTAAATGGACATCAACAGACTGTTAAGTGGTACATAATCTAATGCAATTTATGCCATATTGTAAAATCCCATTTGTTCTATTAACTTATTTGACCCATACTACAGAAATTTCAATTAGTACTTATTTTTCCTTCTGACTGGACATTCATGTTTTACTAAACCCTGAGGTTGAAAATGGCACAAAAGTCCTAAGTTGTTCTCCATGAGTCCATCCCTAAGCAAGTCTTAAAACAGAAATGCAAATGAGCTCTCCACACAACTACGCAAATACAACTTGACCAGGATGAGAGTTTATAGATCTGGATGAGAATGGCCCACAGGCTCATGTATTTGAACAATTCATCCCGTCAGGCAGTGGCACTACTTGAGAAGGATCAGGTATGGCCTTGTTGGAGGCAGTGTGTCAATAGCTGTGGACTTCGAGGTTTCAAAAGCCCTTCTGGATGTGTAACTCTCAGCTATTTTACCAGCACACTGTCTGCCTGTGTGCCACCATGCTCCCCTCCATGTAGAGGATAACTAAATCTCTGCAACTATAATCAGGTCTCAGTTAAATGCTTTCTTATATAAAAGTTGCCTTGGTCATTATGTTTCTTCACAGCAATAGAACAATACTAAGACATAAACCAAGGCATCAAACTGCAAAGCATTTGCAGGAGGAAAAGAACTTGATGCTCTGTACACCTGGGCATTTGCATTTTTTCCACTTGGAGCAAGTGGATGAAAAAAATAAGTCTACACCAAGTCCCAGAGGCCTTCAGATTTAATACTGTAAAGCTAATACAGATTCTAGAACACTCACAACGGAAGGTTATCTGCTACTAAAACCCATTCGACAGATAAAATTGCCCATTCATCTTCAGGTGTGTGAAAATGGGATAACACAAAGGGTATATTTCTTGTTTTTATTTCAACACTTAAAATATTCACAGGCGAAGTACTCGGTTCATTGACACCTCCAGGGAAGATGTACCAAACAAAGAATACAGCATTCCACAGTTATAGAATTACACACTTCTCACTATATGCATGTTTTACACTACAGTTTATCTGGAAAAAACACCTTTCTTTAAAAAAAATTTTAGTGTTTCTCTACATTAAATTTCCATAAAAAGTGAACCACAAAGAATTCCAGAAGAGATACTAAATATCACTCAACAGTTCTTAAGATTTTCAAGCTTTCATGGCAAGCACTGTGTTAACATTCCTGTCAAGAACACTTACATACATGTTCAGTCCCCATTCCTTCCCTGGAGCCAGGCCAGGATGCATTTTCCTCCACGATTCCCTAAGTTGCTATCTCTAAGATATTATGCAGAGGAGATTGGTTACCACGGGATCTTGGCTTGGTAATGAGGTAGTATTTCCCAAGATTTTAGCATTTGTAAAGCAAACAAAAGAAAATACAGTTTTTCTTTTTCAGCAATTTGTTTAAATGAAATGCCAAGGGCACTGGAAATTGGCTGAAGGCTGTTTTTACTCCAAAAGACAAAGAGGAAAACCCATTTGGAAGCCTTGCTACCAAACGTAGTAAAGGGCAAACCCTGAAGGTAGGTACGAATTATTTCAGCATTACAAAATAAGTAGTAAGATATTTATGCCTCAAAATATCAAGCCTTCTTTCTGAGAGAACTCTATGATGGTCAGTGTTGCCAATTTAACAGAATCTAGAATCACACGAAAGATGGGCCTCTGGTATGTCTGGAGCATTATGTTGAGTCCTTGGAGGTGGAAAGAAAAAGACCTGCCTGTCCACTGTGGATGGCATCGGTTCCTGGGCTAAGCCAAAGATTACAATGAGAAGGAGAGGAACTGAGTATGCATTCATGCTCTCAGCTGCCTGACTATGGATGCAATGTGGCCAGCTCCTGCCACTGTGACTCTGCAAAAAAGGACTGTAACCTGACCTGAGTCAGAATCTTCCTCCTCCTGTGTGCTGCTCTTGTCAGGGCACTTTGTCACAGCAACAAAAAGAAAACTAAGACACTGAGGAGAGACAGGAATCGGAACGCAAAATAGATGGATTGTACCCTTTCTGTTCAGTCTGAGTTTTAACTCTCTTAACCTAATTCTCCTTTTCTACACACATAAAGAAAAAAATTAGTAACTCTGGTATACTATCTACTCTGTAACATTAGTAAGTGAATTTAGCTATAAACCTAACAAATTATGCCAGAGAAAGTTTTCCACGTGGAGATGTTATCATGCTAAGCAGCTAGTAATGCCTAGATAACACATGACAGCACTACCTCTACAAAGTGGAGGGCTGAAATGCATACAGACCTCTGAATTCACGGCCTAGGAAACTTACCTATTATTCCCTCTTCTTCTACACTAAAACTGAAGTTTCTTTTCTAACTACCCTTTCTCTAAATGGCAAAATACTTTACAAAATAAATTATGTTAATGAAATGCAACACACACTATATTCCAAATAAGAAGAGTAACCCTTAGGAACAAGTAAGGTATATACAATATTTCTTACTTTGGTACCTATCAAGGCAAAATAAGTGAGATTTCTTTATCAATTTGTAATAACTAATATACTAAAGTTACCTAAAGAATATCTGTGAGAGAGCAGGTTAATTATACAAGGCCTGGCAGGTGGATTTTTAAATTAAATCCTTGACAATTCTATAAAATTTTTAGACAATGGGAACCGAACCTGGTAATAAGATAATGCAATTCTGATATGGCAGCCCTTATTGGCAGTTAGTATTTACAAGTCTTTAAACCATTCTTGTTACTTATTATTCTACCTACCACTGTCATATTGCTGTCACCAAAATATCATGTGCCTACCATTTAATTTCAAGAGAATTCCTTTCTCATCACAGGCCAGGTCCCTTCAGTGTGGTGAGTTTCTTTGTAGGCACTCTTTCCCTAAGGAACACTGCCCTATTCACTGGGGCAACAGCCCTGAAATCTATGCCTGCCTATCATTGTGGTTAAATGAAAACCAATCAACAGTGTCAAATTTAGTTAGCATGAAGTCTAGGAGTCTCTTGTACAGATTAAATAGCCAAATCTTAAAAACTGTACACATAACTTACCATGACAGTAAAGCTCAGTGACACGTGTACATATAATCCACATTCATTATTAGAATATAATAGTAGGCCAAAGTTTCACGAGTTTTACTAAAGTCTAATCTAGTCTAATAAGGTGACTTTACAGACACCATCCCAGTGTGAATAGTGTACTAAGTGAAAGCTCACCAGTACATCAAAGTCACTATGTTCTGTAGTCTAAGCAACACCTACACAGAGATATGAGTAATGACATACACTTGCTTGACATTCTCATACAAGTCATGTTACCAAACTACTATCTGCTAATATTAACACAGTAGACTTGGAAGGCAGTAACAACAGTTTGACTTTCCAAACCAGCATAATATACCCAAATACGGAGTGATGTAAAAATTGAACATGAAATAATACGTTATGAGGGAAACTGAAGAAAAAGTAAAGTTTTGTTGTGTAGAACAGACTTCAACAAATTTGGTTGAAAAGGAAGATACTGAATATTGCATTTTGCAAAGCAATTCTCTAAGAAACTCAATGTAAAATAAATCCTTCTGAATATGCTTATGAAGGTTGTTCTTTTGGCCTTAAACAATAACTAATCTTTTGATCAAAAAAGGCTACAACAGTAAGATTGTAATGATCTGGCTTTATTTTACACTAGGTAGGGGGGCACAAAGCAATCCTCTTTAATAAAGTTGACATTTAGTTTCACTCAGAACATTTTAATAATGCACATTTAAAAAAAAGTATTCACCTTACAAATTGTTCTGCAATCCAAATATACAACAGCTTGGAAAACAACATTTAGAAAGCAAAAGCCAATGTAAAAAGACAGATTAAAACAACAACAACAGTACAGTTTGATATGGCTCAGATTTTACAGCTTTCTTACTGCATCGTCTATGTCAGAAATCTGTTCCTTCAGCTGGCTCCATTGCTCCATGTTTAAAGAAATACCTAAACAAAGTATAAGAAATACAAGGTGAAAATCAAGCTGCCTTGGGGATTTTGATATTCCCAAATCCTTTATCAAAAGTGACATTTTACTTATGTATATTTTTTAGTGTTGAGGACAGAATCCAGATTTCACACATGCCACATACACCCTCCTCTAGTTCTAAGCTACTTCATCAGCCTCAAAACTGCCATGTTGAATGGCACAAGACTAGACTATTGAGGTCCTGTGAGAGATCTATATTGAAGTATTAAAATCTTTTGATAACCCCAGGTTCAAGTTTGTATCCAGTGCATCTGCATACTGCACTCTGACGAAAAGAACTAATGATGATTTAAGATATTTCACACATGTGCAGACTAAGAGTCAGGACCCAGATTAGCATAAGAGACTGCCATTATCCACTATTTCATCTTGTCACTGTCAACAATTGTCCCTTATTTCCACCTTAACTCAAGGTGTTAGGTTCTGTGTGGGAGTTCTTCCACGAGCATCCATTTCACTCTGGGAAACTGCCTAGAGAGTGACTCCTAAGAAGCATGGTAGAATGCAGAATACAGATATAGGTCTGAGTACACTCTGGATTCCTACCAGGGGCAAAGCCCAGGCTCACCTTCACTAGCTGCATTTTCTAGGCTTACTTTCCCAATCAGTAATTGATACTTACTAAGAGTAATTATAATATATTAAAATGGGTAATATGAAACCTTAGTATATTAACATTTAATATACAATACATAAGCAAACAACATATTTTCTTAGAAAACTGCTGAGGGACCATGAAATTGCAAGGAGAATACAATAATGAACAGCATGTAGTAAAGGCTGATGCCAAGTTCCTTCAGTAAATGTTTGAAAGAACGAAATCTGGCATTAGCCACCCAGAAAAATCCTGAATGAAAACTAAAGACAGGAATTAAACAGCAAACATAAAGAGGAAGCGTGAAGTAAGTGCTATCTGCCACCTTTGACAACAGCAGAATAGTACTGGAGAAGGAACCATATTTTGTCCTTTTATTAAAAATCTGTCATTTATTTCATGGGTGCACACATGTGTACATGTGTAGCCCACCTGTCCAACAGACTTTACAGCAGCATAGGTAGTATCCACTCTCTCCTTCTACCTCTTGGGCCCTGGGGAGCCCTGGGGAGCATCAGGCTTGGCACTTCTTTACCTGCTAAGACACCATACCTTACTGGCCCAAGATCAACCTAGAGCACTTAACTATACAAATTTAGGTTGTGTAGTAGTTAATATTTTTTAGAAGCTTTACTAATACACAAAAAGTCTATGACATTTTCGTACATGTAAATAATGTATTTTGATGGTGTTCACCGCCCACTCCCTTCTCTAGCACCCTCTTTCCTACTCCTCTTGATTACCTTCCTCTTCCTAACTAGCGTCCTACTTCTGTGTGCATGCCTTTAACAACAGGTCTCATTAGTGTTGCTCCCTAGCGCAGGAGTGACAAGCTAACAGTTAATCTTGACTATCAACCTGACAGAACCATCATGAGCACAAGGCTGGGTGTGTCGAGGAGGGTGTTTGCAGACAGGCAGGTTAACTGAAGGAGGAGGACCCACCCTAAATGTGGGTGACACCATCCCACCTAAGACCCCAGGCTTGATAAAAGGGAGAGACCAAGCAGCAGGCCCTCATCTCTCCACTTCCTGACTGGGCCCCATGTGCCTTCAAACTGAGCCAAAATAAATCCTTTCTCCCTCATGTTGCTTTTGTCCCATATTTTATCACAAGAAAAGTAACTTAATACAAGTCGGTTCAACCAATGTTTTCTAGCTGCTTGGTGACAGAATAAAATGTTTCTACATGCTAAGAGGCTTGCAACTGGGTGAATCACCAATCTGAAATGGACAGAGACCTACTTGAAGAATTCGATCCTCAAGAAGAGTCTGGTGGAGCTAAATACAAAGGAAAACACTAAACCCAGGATTTTTCTGTTTCTCATTTTAAGATTTCCCAAGTAGTAACTAATCTGCCTAAGAAATGATATAAAATCAAAAAGAAAGTAAGTTAACAATCAATTTAAAGTGGATTCATTACATTTCATTTTAAAAGGATCAACTGAGTAATGCCAATTTTTGACCTGTATTCACCCTGCATGCAGTCAACACTAATATCAAACTGAAGAAATAAAACTTTACCTTTTCTCCCTGGTTTCATTTCACCTTCTGAGTCCATCCAATATTCTCTAATATCAATTAGAATTTTTCCTTTAAAGTCCCGAACACTGACGTATCTCATCTTCCCAATCTAGCAAAGGGGAAAAAGAAACTCATAAAGAAAGCAATTCACAACTTGCTGCAGGTTAATGGCACTTATAATCCTGAGAGTAAGTACTCAACTGTAACCAAGGGAAAATCACTGCTTAGAAAGACATAAGGAAAAAAAGCAAATCTCCAATTCCCACATGGGGGAATAACATGCGCATGTGTCCACATATATGACATCCTGACAATCACTTTTAGGCGTCTTTCTCATTCTTTGCCTTGCCTAGAAGCTCACTGTTAAGGTAAGTTGGCTGGCCACAGAGTACTCAGGATCCATCTGTCTCTGCACCCCAGTGTTGGGAATATAGGCATCTACAACCAAATCCAATTACCTGATGCTGCTGCTGAGGACTCAAACTTAGATCCTCATGCTTGCACAAGTACTTCCACCTACTGAGCTCTCTCCCTTCAGCCTCACTTTTAAATTTATGGAAATTATTAATAAAATAACACAACTGATAAAGTAAATAGAACAGATGCCCTGTGACAAAAACAGAGACATGCCATGTTCCAATAAGGCCACTTTGGGGTATAGAACTCTCAAGTACTACTTAACAGACTGGGTAGATTCTGAGAAATGCATGCTCAGACGAAGTCTCCTATGTGAACATCAAGTACATGTGAGACAGCATACATACTGTGGTACCAGTCCTATAGGACCCATATTGTAAACATGCTCTATCACTAACTGAAACATGAAGAGGTACATAATCATACATCCAAAAGACTGGAAGTAGGGTCTCCCAAAAGGTATTTGCATATCCATGTCCTTAACTGCACTATTAACAACAGTTAAGTAGATAAAAACACAAACAGAATGTGATTTACACATGCAATAGAACACTAGTCAGTCTTTATAATGGACATCCTGCCACATACTATAGTTCTGTGCTAAGTGAAATAAACAGTCATAGAGTAACAATACTATCTAATTCAACTTAAATGAGATGTCTAAAGTATAATGCAGTCAATCTCAGAAATCAAAAAGAAAAACAGCTCAGAAGGCAGAAGCAGATAACTCTGTGTTCAAGAACAGCCTGTTTTACACATAGCAAGTTCCACACCAACCTGCCTACTAATAAATGAATGAAAGAAAGAAAGAATGAATGAATGAATGTTGGCTTAACACAAACTGTGTTTTGAGCTTCCCCACTTTCTAGATTCAGTAAATGTAAGGACAGTATGGTACTAAAGCAGATAGACACAGATGGAGAGAACTGAACAAGAGGCACCTTAATCCTTATCTCACACCATACAAAGACAATTTTGTATGAACCAACACGAAAACTAAAACTATACAATTCCTTACACAAAAATATTGGCAAAAATGTTGTACCCATGAGGTAAGCGAGGTATCATTAAAAAAAGAAAATAAGCATTAATCACACAGGAAAATACTGATATAATAAACTTAAAAATTAAAGCTTTTCCTTAAAGAGAACTCAAGTAAGATAAGATTAACCATATACCTAAAAAAATGCATTAGTTCAGTCTCAACCACAGGAAATCAGGTCTTCTAGGTGAGCGTGATAAGCAGGTATAGGTTTGCTCCAAAAAGGCCTTGGGCTCAACTTATCTATCTACAACACAATTCCTGCATCTATGACTCAGGGATCATTGAGCAAGAGGGGACAGAAAAATTAAGAGCTGGAGGAACAAAGTCTTCTGTAAGATTATGTCTCTTAGAAATGTCAGAGACACAAAACACATGAAATCTCATCAATGTGGCTACCCAAACAAGACCTGAACAAGGATACAAATAGACATGCTAAGACAGAAGCATGAATGTTCAGGAGGCCTCAACCCTAGACAAAGAACTAGAGGCAACCAAGGAATACTGAGAGTGGAACAAATAGTCTTCCCCAGAGAAGATCATCCCAATTAGTTATCCAGTACCAATGGCCAGCCCTGAAAATATACATACAAGTAGCATTATACAGACTAAGCATGTTGTATTTATATATTTAGGTATATAAGAGAAACGAGTGAGTGTGTGTGTGTGTGTGTGTGTGTGTGTGTGTGTGTGAGAGAGAGAGAGAGAGAGAGAGAGAGAGAGAGAGAGAGAGTTTTAACAACAATTTAAGAAGAAGAAATAGAGGTCATGAATCTGAAAGAGAAAAGGGGAAAGAGGAAGGGTTGGAGGGAGGAAAGAGAAGGGGGAAACTAAAAAATTTATATATTTTTCAGAGCAAAAATAACAATCTAATGGGCAGAACAAAAGAAATTCAGGACTTAAAAATCTGAGGATGGGGGGGTAGGGAAGGTAGCACATTTGAGACTATTGCAACATCAAACATGGTCTCAAGGTCATTTCTCAAAGGAAATAAAACTTAGCAGCAGCAGTAATCATTCTTATCTCTATGTGATGACTGAATTAAAATTTAAACAATACCTATGCTAATAGACACATGATTTTATTTTCAGATATGTTAAAAAAAATAAGAAAACAAAAGATCAAGGGGCAGAAGACAAAAAGGACAACAAAGACCCAATGTGAGACCTCATCTCCAAGATGGAGACCTGACACCTGTCAAAGGCTCTGACCAGCAGAGGCTTGCCTTGCTCCTGTCTGTGTGAATCCAATCCATTTCATTACATCTCCTGAGTTGTTTCTTGATTCATTTTAAACTATAATGCTTTTAAAGAATTTCATTTTTTTCCTAAGCTTAAAAATAAAAGATCACTATATTTAGTACAGCAAAAGGTAACTTATATCCAAAATACAGCCTTATAATTCAGTGTATCAACCTAGGTTGTTTTGTTTTGCTTTTAAATAAGAAAAAAGAAAAAGAAAAAAACTGAAAAGAGACACTGTTCCCAAAAGAATGTAAAAATAGTCAAAGAACATGATCAAATATATATATATATGTATAAAAAATCAATGCAAAATAAAATCACTTTGAGTTCCCAATACATACATTTTAAACTAAACCGAATAAAAAGGAAAAGACTAAAAACACAGAAGATATGCAGCAACTGGGATCTTATACTGCCAATGATAGAGTAAAATAATACAACTTACTTGGAAGATAGTTTGATGGTTTTGTATAAAGTCAAATCATATACATATACATATATATGTATATATACACACATATATACACATAAATATGTATATATATGATTTAGCAAATATTGTTGTTACCCACAATAAAGAATACATGAAGATTTGTACTAAGAATATTCACAAGATCTTTATTCCTAGTAGCCCAAGACTAAAAAAATGTTTACCCAATGTAAATGGAAACACAAATAATAAAATAATCCTAAGAAAGGGCATTTTAGTATACAACACAGTATTAGGAAGCAATCTTAATAAAATAATTACTTATCTGTAGGAATATATGTACTTTCTTGATAAAAACAAAAAATACAGAAAATATAAAGCCATTTAACAAAATAAAAACCAACAAAAGACAGTGGGCTTACTGTCTCCTCTTTCAAAACCCCATCCTTTATCTATCTTCCTAATGCAATGATCAAGCCACTATTAGTAATAAAAATGCAGGTCTCCTCTAGTACTAAGCAATCAATAGGTCTCTAAAAACCAATGTGAAAATAAGAACCATGGCTCCTCCTAAATACACACTTTCAAAAAGATCCCTGTTGAATGTCCCTAGGCCCTAGGATTCACAAGAACCTTTCCACATGAGGATTTAAAAACCAACATGATTTTTCCTTAGTGAGAAAATCATTCCCCAAAAATAAACCCCACCCCACTCCACCCCCAAAAAAATCTACAAAATAACAAAGCCTTTAAACTGTGGTTCCTGGTTTCTTTATAAAATTAGGAAGTAGAATAGGAAAGATAAAAATCTAGAGATAAGCCTATTGTGGTATCACACACACTTGTGATCCCAACTTTGGAAGTTTGAGAGGTAGAATAACAAATTCAAAGCCTCACTCAGCTACAATAGCAAGTTCCCAGCCACCATAAATAAGAGGTACTATGTGAAAGTCCAAACCAAATTAAAAGGATAGAAATGAACAGGACACAGTAGCTATGTCTATAATCTCAGCACCTGAAGGAGGCAGGATTGCAAACTCAGCCTATTCTATACAATGAGTTCCATATCATGTTTGATGTTAAAATAGTCTTAAATGTGCTACCATCTCTAACACCCCCTCCAGCCAAATTATATATATATTTATATAAATATATATCCATTTTTAATAGGTCTTTTAATAGTAAAACTCAAATGACCCTGTAAGATCTGCCTTTCATTCCCTTCGCGAATAGCTGATACTCAGCTAGACTTCCCAGGCTTCCACTACAAAGGCTCCGTAATTCATACACAACCCAAGCTCTGTCCCACTTCAAGATATTAACTCAATTTCCTGCTCTTGAAGGCGCTTCCTTTGTCCATACACTTTGCATAGCTGACTTAACCTTCACATCTAAGATTTAGATGACACTTTTTAATGAGATTTTCACACTCACTGTCTCAAATAATCTGACCACTACTTCTCAGGCTTTATTGTAATGTTTACTATGCATGTGTGTGTAATTATGGTCCCCTTAAACTCCATGAGGTTACAGATCACATTCCATGCGGCTTACCAGAACTTGGAAAAGCCTGAATGAAATACAGAGCACAGTAAGCATCCAATTTATTGCTCAAAGCAGTAATAGTCTTTAATTCCTCATCACATACCTTCACCTATGTTCTTGATCAAATTAACATACTTTGCCTCTAATTACACAGAAGACAGGAAATTTAAACCTGTAACTCAGTAATTCTACATTTTGTCTTTTTCTTGCTTCCACTACTTTACTTCTAGTTTTCTTGATCTCATCTTGCATCCTCATTCTTCTCTCAACCATCTGAAAACTACTCAGACACTGTCACCCACCTCCTCTCTCTGGTTTACACTTTCTTTGGTGGATGGCTATTTTGTGAAGCATGTGCAGACTCCAACAAGAGTAACTCCCAGTCAAGCCTTCCAGGTGCTCCAGAAGACCCTCAAGTGACATTCACTGTGAGTTCTACCTCTTCACTCATGGGTCTGTCCTCTGGAAATTACCTTAGCAATTTCTCAAAACATCATTTCCTCACAAAGCCTCATCTCACAAGTAATTCCTAAACAGTGAAGCAAATGCTGAGATGCTAAAAACACCTAGTAAACTCAAGCTGTCAAACAAGGTCTTTCTTTGGTTTCAAATCTCTTCTATTCAACCCATTTTCCTCTTCTTTTTCCAGCTGACACTCCTACTCAAGGCCTAAACATGCTACTCAAGCACTTTACATGTAAGCTATATCCCCAGGCTTCTGCTTCTTATGAAGCATAAGTTAGGTCATTTTTCTCAAATACTATCAAACTTTTACTTTTGAGACAAATACTCAGACCTACTCAAATCTGCTTCCCAAATGTGCACTATAACATTTAGGTTTGCACTGTTTAAATATAGCAAAACTAAAGACTTCTAGACTTTAACAATAGTCCAGAACTGAACAATTTGCCTTCATTTCCTACTTGTTTGTTAATAATCATTAGTCTGGGACTGGAGAGATGGCTCAGCAGTTAAGAGCACTGGCTACTCTTCCAGAAGTTTGGAGCTTAACTCCCAGCAATCACATGGTGGCTCACAACCATCTATGGTGGGATCTGATGCCCTCTTCTGGCAAAAAGTCAACAGGGCACTCAAATACATAAAATAAATAAGTAAAAAGTTTTTAAAAATAAAAATAATCAGCATTAGTCAAGAGGATTACAACACAGAGACTACAATGTGCTTCAGATTCAAGACATGTCTAGTGTTCTTCAGCTCAAGCAAAGCTGCTGCCTCTAAATGCAGTCCAACTGTACCTGAAACATGTTATCATCCCTGCTGCTGCTACTCTGCTTGGAAGATGCCAGCGCTCTAGACGTCTCACCAGGCTTTTGCTTCTTCACAGGCTTTTCTGGAACCACTTGCTTTTTCCTCTTTAACTTGAAAGAAAAGGTAAGAACACACACATGTCAAGTTCAAAAGATTTCATTACCTTTAAAGAGTTAAAGAACCAAAAAGTTTCTTGATTCATTAAAAGAAATACATGAAAAAAATTAACATGACTCTAGTCTGCAATTACAACTAAATGTGTCTCTAAACTCTTCTCAGAATCTCCAAAGATACTTCAGATATTACAATAGTGATTTTGTGGACCAGAATTTATACAATACTTCTTGGAAAGTAGCCTACAATGAGCAAACTTTTGGAAACCACAAATCTACCAAAAGTTTTCCTTTACTTTAAAAAAAAAAGTATGGTGGTACACCCTGTAACCCTGAGGTTCAGACAGCAAAGCTGAAGATCAAGGACAGTCTAGGCTATAGACAGTGACTGTCTCAAAAAAAAAAATAACAATAGCATATCTATGACTAAGATATAAATATTTATTAACTCTTTGTCAATTCCAAAAGGAATCTGAACTGTTCTCAAGAATGTATGCTTCACTTCCAGTCTAGTCTACACAGCAAGCTCCAGGCTGCCAGGCATACACAATGAAGCCCTGTTGGAGGGCTGGGAGAGGGGAGTGTTGCAACACATGCTTAGGAAAGGGAAGTTATTTTATGCCAGGCACTGAAGCTCAACAACTCAGAAACTTCAACACAAAGAATACTGAAGATAGGCAGTAATATGTTAAGACTAGCACTCAATCTTATATTTTAGAAGCAGCACTAGCATAAAAGCATTAAAAGAAAAAAGAAAGAAAAAAACCATGTAAGTTCCCAGCCCAACAGTAGAGGGCAGACATGTTCCTTCTTAGTGGACAAGTACAAACTACTATTTCAACGTTACTAAACTTACTATGTTAAATTTGATAAAGCTAGGTTAAAAAACGCACTTAAGTAAGCTATGAAATAAAAAGCATGGACACATTTAATATAAATGCGTACAGAATTAACAGTACTATGCAAAACAAACTACAAAACTCAGCTCAGCTAGCAAAAGGCAATTTTGTGGACCAGTGCATGCCCAGCAAATAACGTCACTATAAATTACTTACATAAACATACTTAGATGTCACACTGATACAAATTTTAAAGTGATTTCTTCAAGAATAGCTCTATGTATGAAGATTGAACCCTTCTTCATTTTAACCTTATAAATGGTACTATAGTCTATCTCCACTTTCATAGGCTCCAACTTCCCCAAATTTCCCCTATAAAGAACTTCCTTCTGTTAGGTAGTACAAAGTAGGCAGAAAAACAAGATAGATAGATAGATAGATAGATAGATAGATCGATCGATAGATAAAATTAAAAAATTAAAAATTAAAGAAAAAGGAAAAAAGAAAGGAAATGAAAGAAGCAGGGAAGAGGGCAGCTGTTGTTTTAAAAAAAAATTCATAAAACAGGGTCCCCAGTATCCCCGGTGACCTTGAACTTCTGATTCTCCTGCTTCCATCTCCACAGTGCTGGGGATCAAACCTAGGGCTTCCTGAGGTATACGAGCAATCTACCAAAACTGAACTACATCACCGTCCCTGCTTGCTGCTTTTAAACATTTGCAAACCATAGGTCAACTAACTACTCACTAATAACTTTTTCCACAAAATAAGTAAACAAATAAGGATGAATGCGATTTGTTCGATTTCCAGGATATGAACGTTTACACAGATATAAATTTCTATCAAGATACAGCTGTGTGGAAGGAAGTCTTGACCACAAGATGGGCTGCTCCGTTACACTTCACCGATGTGATCAACTAAGTGGAATGAAACTGACAACACTGTGTCATCTACTGCAGAAAAAACTTATTGTGACAAAATAGACAATTTTGTGTTTGCTGTGCTGGATGACTTTAATAAAAGCAATTATCTTTCAAACTTAAAATGTATTAAAACTCAGTAATGTACTAAAACTCAGTAATGAGGGGGGAGCAATGACTGAGAAAGTCATCAAAAAATGCTTTCATTCAAAACTTCAGTCATGCAGCCCAATAGTGATGACTTACTATCTACACATTAGGCAGATTTTTGGAAATTTTATTTATTACTATATTTTGTGCGTACCAAACTTGTGATGCTTGTATGTGGTACATGAGGTCAGAGGGCAAATTTGGCATAGCTGGTTCTCTTGGTATCGTTGTAGACGAACAGGGACCAAACTTAGGTAGTCAGGTTTGGTGGCAAGGGCCTTTCTTTACCCACTGAACCACCTCAACAGCCTAGACTAAGCAGATTTTTGAATGACACAGATTTCTAAATAATGGTAAAGTAGTGTCTTCAACCTTATTAAAATTCTAGTGCTCTAGAGTCTAAGAAAACATTCCTGTGACTTTAGGTTACTAAAGGTGCTCAATAGAAGACTTGTCTGAGCTGGGCCTATACTCATAGCTACTCATGAGATTAAGGCATACAGACAAGAGTCCAAGGTCAGTTCGGAGAACTCATTGAGACCCTGTCTTAAATAAAAAGTAAAGAGGGGGTAGGAACATAGCTGAGCTGTGAGCACTTGCCTGGGATGCACTAGAACCTCAAGGACAGCACAAAGACAACCTCTAATACCTGGTTTAATGCCTACAGATGAGTTTGGAAGCTCATACTCCACTCAAGTGGTCCATCTGCCATCTACCTTTACAAAACTACCCTTGCAGATTCTCTCTCTTACATTCTGAATCACGCATTGGTCGCACAATTCCAGAACTCAGGGAAATCTGAGGTGGTTGGAGGTGGTAAAGAATATGTAGCAAAACATATCTAAAAAGACTACCTAGTTTTTCACTTCCAAACTGGATTATAGAGGAATTAATGTACTACAAATTTGGTACAATAAAACTACTTGGTACAGTAAAATTTACCTTTTTTTCAACCTCGCTGTCAGAATCACTGCCTGAAGAGCTTGAAGAAACAAGTTCCTTTGATTTAGGCATTCTGAAAGAAAAATACATTACAAGAATAATTTACACGATGCTCTATTACCTTCATCTTAGCTCTCTTTCAGTCAAAAAAAGTTCCATGGCTCATTCTGCCATTTTGTGGTACTGGAGTCATTACACACTGGACCCATGTCTAAATTGCAAATAACAAGCACAGCCAAATACTCTGAACTCAGGGCAAAGAAATAAAAGCCATGTGCACATTCCTTCACCTCTTTCTCCAAGTCAATGGGTCTTTTCAAGAACAGATTTTAGAGGGGTTATAAAATTTATGGGTAGACTGCAAGAAAGCAGCTGAGAACAATTACTTTAAAATCAAAAGACATATAAGTAAGCAATTCCACTCACACTAGGGTAAGAACTGATGTAGAATTAGAAGACTAGCTCCAACGTAAGAAAAACAGCTTGTCTATGAAAGTGTGATACCTAATTAATTTCGCCATTATTAATCATCTCTTACCTGATTTGTAAACACTAACTTTCACCTTGTAGTCTGTGCCATCAGAGTTCATAATGTTACACACAGTTCACAGCATTTTGCACTGCTTTTTCTACTTTAGTAAATAAGTAAAATTTGAGGGTTCTGTGTGCAGAGCAAAACCACCAGAGAGGCACACAGACCAGCGCTTGCTGTTTACTTAACGCCCAAGCATAAAACAAAGGGCAGACTATCTTAAGTCTAACCCAATTTTCAAGGAATCCTAAGACATGTCCTAATTCCTTTTCAAAATTCTTATACCAGGTGGCAAAAAGCTAATTACCAAAGTATGTATGGATTAAATGGCCTAATAACACAGCACACTTTGTAAAGAAAAAGACTTCAGATTTCCCCTCCCAGGTCAAAAAATTGTAACCCAGCTCTCTAAACCAAACTGGCATTCAATGTAAAAACCTGTAACCCAGTTCTCTAAACCAAACTGGCATTCAATGTTCCAAAACAGAAGATCAAGGCCAAAGTGTGCTATCCAAATCCTGATCATTAAATTCAAAACGCTCAAATCAAGCCAGCACGACCATACTGAACACAACTGGCAAGGCGCATAACCAGTTTCGTTCGCTTTTCCTCTGGCTGCTCCATTTCACAACCCAGTCGCCAAAATCAAGTTAGTTTTGGTTTCTCAAGGTAGTTGTTCACGCAACTACCCAAAAACCTGTTTTGAAAAGATTATTAAAGTGAACATACACATTTTTTCATGTAAACTGCCACCTTATCTATCTGCCATAACGAAAAGCTGTCTAGGGAACTAAAATTGTTTCAAAGAACCACGTCATTGTCTAACCTAAATCTACCCAGTAAGAAAAGAGTGGAATGGGAACGAAAGCCCGCCCTTCCCTTAAACTTTGACTTTTAACTTTCATTGAAGCTTTACTGGGTTGGTTTCTTTGGAGGTCGGGGAGCTTTGTGATTGGAGCAAATGATAACTAAAGGGGAGACTGTAGCGTTTACATGGGATCATTCGGTGACTTGGGGGGGGAGGGAGGTGACAACATCGCAGGGGGCAGGGCACTCGAGAGTGGGAAGGCGCGGGGCGCGTGGGGGTCGCGGCCCGGAAGCTCCTCTAGGCCCCGCGGCGAGGGCTGGGGCTCCAACCGGTCTGAGGAAGGGGGCGTGGGGCGCCGAGAGCGTGCGGGCGAGGAGGGCCTTGCGCCAGCGCCATCTTATTCTCGCCGCCCCGGAGACCGGCCTTGTGCGCCGAGGCGCGCCCCCCGACCCTCA